AAGGAAAATCTGAACCCAAGTAGTCCAGTGGTTCTCAACCTATGGGGGCCCACAGTGTTGTTACAGGGGGTCCGTGAAGGCTTGAAGAAACGTTATGATTTAAATCTTGAGTTAAGTCTTGGCGGTCTGTGGCTCTGGTCCATGTTCACAAAAGGTATTTGAAAAGGGTCCGTGATGAAGAAAAGGTTGAGAACCATTGAAGTAGACTATAATCTACTTTGGTATAATGCATTTAGTAGTTTCTTTGGAGCTATTCTATTTTTCCCTTTTTCATAGATTTTTTTTACCTAAAAGAAAAGATCAATAGTGTCATATAAAAGAAAGATTAAGAATAGAATACAGTGTCACTTTCACTTTATGTAATATCCATTGACAACCTAGGGTTATAAAATGCTCTCCCCTGGTGTATTAAGTTGTGGCATATTAGTAGAATAATGCATTAATAGGGACAGTGAAATCTGCTGTTTTAGTATCACAATATCTTCTGTACAGTTTAATAAAATCTGTTGCTTGAGCCACATTTGGTTTGGTAATTCCCCTGAAATCATTGCATTTTTTTCCATTTTTGTTTTAATAAAATAGCATGAGAAGCAGTAATAGCTTCCAGTCCTGGATATCTGCTCTACTTTTAGAAACTAGTAAAAAAGCCATTCTTATTTTCTTTTCAAAACTTGAATTTTAAAACTATTTTTATTGAAAAACCTGCCTAAAGCTTACTTGATAGGCAAAGGATAATTCCAGAAACATTACAGAGGCAAACTATCATAAACACTTTCAGGTTATTTCAGAAATTTGTAAAGCCTCTCTGTTGAAATCTGATCGAGCATATTACCATTTGGGTGTGGGGTGGGGTTGGTTTTTTTGCTTTTTACACTTTTGAAATGTTTTATATTGATTAATAAGGAGATAATGTTATTTGTATTCAAATTTGTATGAAAATGTAAATGGAAAGTATTTCAACCGTGTTTAGAAAAGTTGAGACTTGTTTTCTGCTGTGCCGTGATAACTCTGTGCCAAAACTACTACAATGTGTGAACGGAATATAAAATTTGTATGGAATGTGAAATGTTCCACTTCTGCATGGCAAGACTTTTTTTGTAGTTACTTTTTTCATTATAGTATTTAATTATGTGTTGTCTTGCTTCATTCATTTAATGGTTTGCATTTTAATTATTCACAGGACACCAAAATGTAATCAGCTTCTTTTTTTTTTTTACAATTTGGTGTCATAAATCCTAATTTGTTGTGAGCTGTTTTTCTTTGCTTCTCTTTGTTTCATTTTTGACTTTACAATAAACATGATGACACTGAAAAAATTATACATAAAAAGCCTGTAGTTCTGATTAAAAACATGATGTTTACATGGGGTACCTAATGATACATCTGTACCAACTTTTAATCTGAGCTTTGTCACCAAATGCATCACAAATGTCCCTTATTAGTGTTATTTCCCTTCAGTGTTAATTCATGCAGAAGAAGGGTGTCATAATCATTCCTACATTAAAACAATTTAGAAACAATTCAAATAAATATATACAGACATATGCATTGCACAAAAAGCTGAAGAAGCTAAAACAATATCAATGCATCATGGGGAGATGCCATGGTTATATAGGTAATTCATTTATGACCATTCAAAGTTACAATGAACTTCACTTAATTACCATGTGACTTGCTTAACAACCACATAATTTGCTTAATGACTACAGTGACTTGCTTTATGACTATAATAAAAATGGACATAAAATCAAGTCCATTCACATGGTGCCTTGATTTATGACAACAACTTTTAATTAAAATTCCAGTCCAAACTGTGATCTTAAGGTCTATCTATATTGAAAATAATTCTCAACAGTTTCGTCCAGTATGGCCAATAGTAAAAGATGCCAGGAATTGCAGTTCTGCAACATGTACAGGGCTATAGGTTTCTTACCCCTGAATACTCTGAGGTAACAACGTTGAATTTGTAAGAAATATAGGGCAATGTATTTTTGTAACCATGCTACACTGCTCATCTAGTCTCTAATCAGTCAACTACTGTGTATAATTAAGATGGAAAGGCATACAAATCATGATTTGAGCCTACTGCTTCTTACAGGCAACCATCTGCTACATATAGACTGGAAGACATCTTCTAAACATGTTATAGATTTTTTACACCCATAGGAGGTTGAGGAAGGCTATAATATAGAGGCTGTGTCAGCCTATAGAAGAGTTTGGGGACCCCCCACTTCCTTTTTAAAATGATTTGCAGGCAAGGTCTTCTAGAAACTTTAAGGAAGTTAAACCTCCAATGAATTTTCCATGATGTACAGGCCATATGATATAGTGGTTAAGATAGTGAAGCTGTTTAAGTCACCATTTGATTCTAACTTGACTATGAAAATGATTTGATAATTTTGGATCAATCATGAACCCTTTTCTCAATTTTTAAATCTTTGCATACCTTACTAATTATACTTCTAAATACCAAATCCACTAACAATGAAGAAATCACTACATTAATAGTAGGCCCATTTTATTCAAGATAATAAGCAGTAATTCATGGCTTCTTTCAGGATAACCTGTTGTATTGCCATCCCATGGTTTCCTGCTTTTCTTCATCATCCTGTTGAATATATTAAATATTAATTGACTAATTTGAGTTTAGTCCATCCCCTCTCAAGTTTGTTTCTGTGATTAAAGGCCTGGAGACTAAAAGAACAGTTGCAGGATTTGGTAATGGCCAGTCTAGAAAAAGGAAGGACGGGAAGGGGGGGGACATGATAGCAGTATTCCAGTATTTGAGAGGTTGCCACAAAGAAGAGGGGGTCAACCTATTTTCAATTAACCAATGGAACAACCTGCCTCCAGAAGCGGTGAATGCTCCAGCACTGGAAGTTTTTAAGAAGAGACTGGACAGCCATTTGTCCGAAATGGTATAGGGTTTCCTGCCTGAGCAGGGGATTGGACTCGATGACCTCCAAGGTCCCTTCCAACTTTATTATTATTATTATTATTATTATTATTATTATTATTATTATTATTATTATTATTATTATTATTATTATTATTATTATTATGAAACAATGGATGGAAACTAATCATGGAGAGAAGCAACCTGGAATTAAGGAGAAACTTCCTAACAGGACAATTAACCAGTAGAACAGCTTGCCTTCAGACATTGTGGGTGCTTCATCACTAGAGGTTTTTAAAAAGAGACCGGACAGCCACTTGTTTAAAATGGTATAGGGCAGCGGCTTCCAACCTTTTCTATACCCCGCACCCCTAGAACGCTTCTGATATATTCTCGCACCCCTTACAAAAGTTTGAAATAACAGCAACAAATTATGCATATACACTATAATTTTGAAAACCCAAGTTTTCGCACCCCCCTGGAATATCGTCTCGCACCACCGGTTGCGAACCCCTGGTATAGGGTCTCCTGCTTGAGTGGGGGACTGAACTAGAAGACCTCCAAGATCCCTTCCAGCTCTATTCTGATTCAAGATTCAAGACTTGTTTCCCCCACACCCCAGGTAGTGCTGGTTTGCCTATCAAATTCACTATGGGATACAGTACATAGTCTATAAGGGCATATTTATATACCGTGCTAAACTATAATGTCTGGACACTTATATTGGTTCTGGACACTATAATGTCTGGACACTTATATTGGCATTGGACCTGGCTATCTCCGAGACCGCCTTCTGCCACAGATTCCCTCCCATAGACCGGTACGCTCCCACAGAGTGGGTCTCCTCAGGGTGCCGTCGGCCAAGCAATGTCGGCTGGCGACCCCCAGGGGGAGGGCCTTCTCTGTGGGTGCCCCCACCCTCTGGAACGAACTACCCCCCGAGATCCGGACGATTCCG